CTTAACGACTTACAATTATACTAATTATATTTGAGTTGGCTCTTGGTGTGATATTTATCACATTCGTCATCATTGACACTATCACTTGACTTCATTTGTAGGTTGTCACTTGCGGTAGTATCCCTCTTGAAACATCATTTCGAAGGACATCAAGATGTGTGTATGTTTCCACGGAACTGTATGAGTACAGAGGTTGGGGAGGAAAGCCTGCCAATTCGACCCACCGGTTCTTCTCATGGGGTAGAAGGCATTCTGAGGTTTGTTTTTATTCTCATTTTGAGATTTCCCATTTCCTAGTTTGAATGGCCAATTCATAGTTCTTTTTCTCCTTGTTGGCAGAAATTCGTAGCTGACTTTTACATATCAGACTTCCAGTCTGGATTAAGAGCTCTTGTGAAGGCAGGTTATGGAGCTAAGGTTACTCCCTTTGTCAAACCATCTAAAGTTATTGACGTGACCCAAAGCAACAGAGAGCTGTCTCCTAATTTCTTGCAGTGGCTTGCTGATAGAAACCTTTCGAGCGATGACAGGATTATGCGCCTTAAGGAAGGGTAAGTAATGAGTACTGAGTAGGGCATTGTTAGGATCTTTTGCACATATGCTTTTAGCCACAATATGCATGCATTGTTCTAAAACACCCAGTGAAGATTTTGGATTCCGCAATATCCCCTTTTCCATTTCCAAAATTTATAATTACATCCACTTTCCATGGTTTTGGTTAAATTTCCGAATGATTCTTGAAGTGTCTGAAAAATACAAATAAGCGCCTGGGCATTTAGACTTTTTGCAAATGGCATTGAAAGATGGTTGGATATTATGATGTTAGCATGAATTAAGATTCTTTAATCTAAATCACTCTGAATGTTTGTTTGGAAGATTGTTTGTTATAGTGAGCTTGAAATACTTTAGCTGATAAAATATATTTGGAACACTAAATTTGAATCTGAAGACACCCAAATAGCTATGTTGTAAAAACCGGACCGGAAGACGAACCGGAGCAATGATCGGGTCAAGGGTCAACCCGGACCCGGAGGGTCAACCCGGTCAACGGTTAATAAACCCGGTCAACATTGAGTAAAATAAAAACATAGAATTTGGATATATCAAAATTAAAATTTTAAGGAGAATATAATTTTCAATCATAAATTAGTATTGATAATACTTGACAAACATGGAAAATAAAATATACAAATTTTAACCATTTTTAAAATGTATTTGAAATTAAAGACAATAAATATGAATATATCACTTTGCAAAAAATTTGAATATATTATATTCATGTTTTTACTTCTAATAATAGAGATAATGTGTATTATTCTTATTTTTACTATGATGATTATTATTTGCAGGCGAAATTGACACCAATAAGCTCCACTTTTACCCATTTTATAAAAATAATCCCTACTTGAAAAGTTCACACCAATAATCCCTACTATTTAACTGTTTCACAAAAATAAATCGAATGCATACGGTGTTAAGTTTTCCGTTATTTTTTTATTTTAAATATATTGAATCGAAAATATATATAAACATTGACACTACTATATTTTAGTTTAATCTTGTTTCTACTAAAAAAATTAATATTCAATATTTCCATAAAACATAATAGATTTTTTTTTTCATAAAACATAATACTCTTCAAATTCTCTTTCATTCCTTATCCATATTTTATTAAGATTCATTTTTGGTATTCGTTATAATAGAGATTCCGAAGTAGTTTTAGTAATAATACATTAAATATTAATACAATTATGTAGAATATTGAATTAAACTCAAATATATTAGTTTATCATAGGAAAAGATTAAACTCTAATATAATATTATTAATTTTTATACATATTTTTGGTTTGATATATTCAAAACTTAAAAAAAATAACGGAAAAGTTAACACTGTCAAAATCGGATTATTTTTGTGAAACAAGTAACTAGTAGGGATTATTTTTGTGAAATTTATGAGTAGGGATTATTTTTGTAAAATGTGTAAAAGTACGGATTATTAGTGTCAATTTCGCCATATTTGTAGAATAACAATTACAACACTTTTATAAGCCAAATAATACGTCAAAAGAGTATAAAACTAACTAAACCACATATATTATCAAGAAGTTGAAGTAGTGCATTGATCTTGTGTCCTTCATTTCTCCCGCGCGATGAGTGTTCAATTCCCTGCGTCAACAATTTTTCGTTGCTGGGCCGGGTTGAACGAGTTTCGTGGGTTTGGGCCGTACCATTTCTGGGCCAGTTCTGCGCGGTCCACCGGATAAATCCAGTTTTCACTCCATACCGGACCGGGATTGATCCGGTCTGGTCCGGTTCTTGTAACATAGCCAAATATTCCGTAGTTGTTAATATTACTCCGTATTATGTTCTATAATATTTTTGTGTTCAAAGGGTTGTTTGATCTGACTAGTCAAGGGATTTATTTGTACCATTTAGAAGCCTCAAGGTCATTTGGTAATTTGACCAAACCTTAGGAGAGGTAGATCTAATTAACCCCACCAGATCACATACATTAGACTTTTGCATTTCCCATCATCGTAGGGCCTGTTTGGAACCTGGAAATGTCTATGGGAAAAAAGAAATATAGACAGGAAATTTCGAAGCCAAGGTTGAAAAACAAAACTGCAAAGCTTCAAATTTACCAAATCAATATGTTTGACTCGTTTAAATTATGTATTTCTATTATACAAAGGATTGCAAAAATATTTAAAATCTTAAAAGTTTCAAATCTAGTGTGGTTTTCCTTGGTGTTTCCACTTAAAATGGAACTTTAAAAAACAAAATCCCCCCTTCCTACCATTTTCCAGGTTTCAAACATAGCCTTATTGAATCTGAACTTTTTTCTGATAGACAATTGAATCTGAACGTTTCTCCTTGTAATAAACACACAGCTACATCAAGGAAGGGAGCACTGTGAGTGTGATGGGTGTTGTTAGACGTCAGGCTAATGTGCTAATGATCGTCCCGCCCAGTGACCCGATTTCAACAGGCTGTCAATGGGGTCTCTGTCTTCCCCCAAGCAATATTGATGCTCTCATCTTGGCATGTGATGAAAGCCAGAATTCTGATGTAATTCCTGTCTAGATTGCTTGCAAAATGAAGCGCAAACTCCATTTGATCAATTAATGGCAGTATGCCAACCATGACTCAAGTGGCTCGAAGACCACATAAATTGCCTGAAGAACCTGGATGTGTTAAGGTTTGAGTAAACTCTTGTATTATAATGCCCCACCCCAACCCCACTGGCCACTGGAGAGGTAAAAAAAGGTGTTCCTCCCTTTAGTATGTAAATTACCCCTGACTGCCCTTTGAGCAACAATTCAAGTTAAAATATATTCTTTGTAACATCAATCTTTCCATAACTACGCATGTTTATTAAGAGTTATGTTTGATTAACTACAATAAAGTTCTTAGGCTTTTTTTTAAGTATAAAGTTCTTAGCTCTGTCTGACTATGTGGGAGACTGGTGACAGCAGTCTGTTTAAAGCATATTGCTAATTTGGGAGCAGTGAAACAAGTGATAAATCTGCGTTTGGAAAAATTGCGGCTGCAGTGCACTTGGAGTGCGAATTAGTTGCATCTTTCATCCCAAAAACAAGGTTCCTGTTTAACTTGCACAAATGACAAAAGTGGTAACTTATTTTTTTTGGTGGAAGTAGTATTTGTCTGTCAAAAATACCCTCAACAATTTAAGAATAAAGACATCAAATCTAACTTCACAATTTATGTGTGTTATTGTTGCAAAAAAAGTTTAAAATGAACAAAAAGTATTTATATGTTGTATATGACTATATGTTACATGATCTTTAGTTGTATGATATCTATTCTTTCTCTCATGGTAAGAATGAACAAGAACTATTTATATGCTAGAAGTTTAAAGGCAAAATTCATATAAATAATCTATACTTGCAGAGTTTCAGGGATTGTACAAATATAATTTCTACAAAAAATGGTATAAAAATAATCTGAATTGCCAATGGTGTTTATAAAAATAATTTGCGGTGAATACAAATTAATACTCATTTGTACTCTCATCTCCTATCCTCAATTTCCGCTTCGCCACTGAATTAGAGACAATTATGTATTATCGAAATAACAATGAGATTAAATGGGCATTAATGTAAATTCACTTCGAGAAAAGTTGAGAGTATTAAATAACCATTAATTTGAATTTACCTCAATTTATTCTTATGGACAACACTACTGATTTAGATTACTTTTATAAACACTCTAAGTAGAGATTATCAAATTTATCATCGTAAAATTCTTTAGTGTGGATTATTCCTATGAATTTGCCAAAATTTATGTAAAGAAATTTTTGATATATTTTTTAAATAAACTATAACCTATTTATATTGTTAAACAACCTCAACCCAAAGACGAAATCGTCTATCTCGACCTAACAGAATGATGGAGTAATCATGATACGATCTCAAACAATAGATGAGTCATCACATTGAATGAAACTCTTACACTACCGTTACCGGAATTGAACTTGATAATATTGTCACCCACCATTTGAAGGCTAGTGATAACATCAAATCAATTAGGTGACTGCCATTCTAACTATTATTGTTTTATAGTAATATATACAAACAACAACCATTCTTGATGTACACACCCTTGTACACACCTTATACACACCATGTTTGTGAAGCTTTTTTTTGTCTGTGAATCCGGTTCACAGATAATATTTTGTTTGTGCAAAACATTGTCTGTGAATCGATGTTCACAGACAAAAAAAAGCTTTCACAGACATAGATGTGTACAAAAGTGTGTATAAGAGTGTGTACAAACATCATTTTTGTACAAACAAATACTACTTCGGTCCCTTAAAACTTTGCCAATTTTGACCGGCACGAGAATTAATAAAGTAAAAACTATGTGATTGAGGTTTGTGCAGAGGAGAGAGAATTAACTGGAACCACATATTCTTTACTTAAAAGGAAAATTGGCAAAGTTAGTAGGTCATCCAAAAAGTTGATAAAGTTTTAAGGGACGGAAGGAGTAAGTTATTTGACAGTTTTTTTGTCGATTACATGCATAATAACTAGAATTTTACTCCGTATATATTTGAAGACAAGTGCCCAATATCTTAGTATAAGCTTTATTTTGGCTTTGTGCTTTTGAAGCGCTTTTAAACGTTCCTCACATAGAAGTACATCTAAATGAACCCCAAAAACTGTGTTCAGAAAGTTTATAAAAGTTCTAGATGTTGTGAATGTTCTGCCTTAGAGTCTGGAAGGGTGTCCCCCTGCAACTACAAGAATTTCTCCGGTAATGTAGGAGGCATCATCAGACGCTAAGAAAGCAGTAGCAGCTGCCATGTCATCCACTGTTCCTAGCCTCTTCAGATGTGTATTTTCCTCGACAGATTTCCTCTGATAAAACAATGCAAAATAAGTTTGTGTATTAAGGGTAAATTCAGCACAAACTATGAAGGTCATGTTCTTTGTAACTGCAAACTCACAATTTCCTTGTTCTCTGTTATAAAAGAAGCAAAATTTGTGGGCACAAAACCAGGTGCTACACAGTTTACTCTAGTGTCTGGGGCCATTTCAGCAGCAATTGCCTGAAATCATCAGCAACAGTTGAGTGAAATTTAGAAAAGACAAAAACAACATTCACTATGACAGATGTCAAGTACAGAGAGTATTACGGAGCACTATTTACCATATAATTTTTAAATCAATGATAACTTATTTTTTTAATTCTATATATGTCTTTATTAATGAACACACTACTCATTCAATAGAAAATTTGATACCCGGTTTAATCCTTGGAATATGTACTAGGTAGTATTATTCAATTTAGTCCTCCACCTTTTAAGGACTCAATTGGGTACTCGACTATGCAACTTGAGAATAGTTCAATTTAAAAAGATTATTTCATTCTGTTCACTAAATTTAGACCCAACTGTTAGGACTCAAGTTGGTTCTCATTAATGTAAGTTATATCCAATTTAGTCCTTAACATACCCAATATTGAATGATGACTAAGTTGAGTCCAAAGTGTAGTCTAGAACAAAATTTGGTCCGAAAGAAAGTTCATGACCAAATAATTGAGGGGCTAAATATGATATTAAATAACTGTTCAATGCTATGTGTTTTAAATAATTAAATTGTACTTTTCCAATGTAAAAGAGGGGAATTTGACTGCGCCCCCCATTTTTTAGCGATATTAGACTTTGCACCTCATTTTCATAATTATTAATGTGTGCACCCCATTTAGTATATAACCATTTAACTTTGCACCCCCATTCCTTCACAATTTTTGGGCTGATGGGGTGCACAATTTAATAATTCTGAAAATGGGGTGTAAAATCTTATATAGCCCAAAAATGGGGTGCAAAGCCAAATTCCCCATAAAACACCACAAAAAACATATAAAATGGTGGACAAATATATGTGTAACCGGAGGTAGTAAATAGTACCTTAGTAAGCCCGAAAAGGGCAGTTTTGGTCACTCCATACATTGACATTGCAGCAGGAGGGTTGTAGCCAGTAATAGAAGAAATGAAAACAACAGATGAACCTTTTTTCAGGTGAGGAGCTGCTTCCTGTCAAGAACAAGTTTTTTTGTTAAATGAAGAACGGTATAATGACCAGAGCGTCTTTAAAAATCAAAATAAAATACACTGTATTGCGACCTGATACAATTAAAGCTTACTTGCAAGAGTAAGATCGAGGCTTTCACATTGATCTCCCACAGCTTGTCAAGGATGGATTCTTTAGTATTCAGAATTGGTTCAATAGAAGGGTTGGCTGCAGCATTGGACACCACCACATCTATCCTTCCATACATCTGTAATCATAAATACACACAGCAATTTTTTAGAAATGTCTACTAATTTGAACTATACTAAAAATTGATTTTTTTTCATTTTCAATCGACTTATATTATTTTACTTTCGAGTTCCACACTACAAAATGGTTTATTTTTAGTAAAAAATGTCATACAAAATTAAATGAACTTCCATTGGATGTTCACAAAATCAGATTTTTTTTGTTATTCTCTGGTAAAGATAAATATTTTGAAGTAAAAAGTCAAAGAAGAGAGCTACAAGTAAAAAATAACATCCAGGGACACAAGTGGAGTTAACTTGTGTCCCTTTTTAGCCACTCCAGAAGAATTTGTATGAAAGATACATTTAACTGCCCAATGGTCTGATAGAATGAACCTCCTATCCTAGAGAGCACTGCAAAAATATCTCGAAGTCACTCATAAAAAAATACTTCTTTCCTATTTTGGTCCCAAAAACTTTGATACCCTTAACAAAAGAAAGCTGTTATTCATATTGTTTATACTCTTCAAAATAAATTTTAAACATATAGTTTTCATTTTCTTTGTGGTTCAAACTGAAAATCATAATGATTAAAGAAAGTGCAGCCCGTTGCACAGCAGCGTCCCTGCAAGGCGAGGGTATGGATTTCCCTGAAAATAAATTAAGTTGTGGTTCAAATTGCAATACCTCAATCGTTTTCTGTATCAAGTTCTTCCTGTGTAGTGCATTTGAAACATGACAAACTACTCCCAAAGCTTCAATCCCTTTACTCCTCAGTTTTTCTACAGCTTCGTCCACATTCTTCTGCAATCCAAACACAAGTTAGCTCTCAGAGCAAAGAAATTAACGATTTACCTAGCCAAATACTGGTAGTCTGGTACGGGCCTACTGAGGAATATAACCTACTCACTCAGTATAGAGAAAAGTTCTGAACTTTGATGAATTTGGATTGTACAGGCATAGGATCCGTTTGGTTGAGTTTTTGGTGAGAATCGAGAAGAATGAATATGGTGGCTGAAGACAATTTATTAAAAATTGAAAAAAAAAACAAAACCTGTTTCCGAGAGGAGATGACAACGGTGGCGCCTTCAAGGCCAAGCCGTAGAGCGATTCCGAAGCCGATGCCTTGAGTTGAAGCCGTGACAATCGCCACCTTTCCTTCAAATCTATTCCCATTAATCTTCTTCTCCATTTCTTTGTTTCTTGCCTATTGCTTTCTCTCTCTCTCTCATCGAAGAGCAATTTCAATTCTGCGGACTATTAATAACATCTCTCAACAATTTTAACACAGCTAAATTCACAAAAATTATCTCTACTTTCAGGCATTTTATAAAAATAATCCCTACTGAGAGTATTTATAAAAATAATGCGAACTAGCAATAGTGTTCACAAGAATAAATTGAGCTAAATTAAAATTATTTCCCATTTAGTTCTTCCAAATCTTACCTTTACTTTCCCCTTTATCACTCTTCTTTTCAGGTAACACTTTTATCTTTTATCCTAGAAAAAATCACATAAGGCTGAAATAACATTAAAATTAAACAGGTTTTAGTTTTAATTCACTTCGATAAGAAGAGCTGAGAAGAGAAAAGTTATAGTAGGGATTGATAGTATTAAACGAACATTAATTTGAATTAACCTCAATTTATTCTTGTGGACACTATTGTTAGTTCAGATTATTTTTATAGACATTTTCAGCAGGAATTATTATTATAGAATCACTAAAAGTACAGATTATTCTTATGAATTTCGCCTTTTAATAGGGGTGGGCATAAAACCCGAACCGAACCGGTACCGAACCGTTCCGTAATGGTACCGAACTGAATACGGGACCGGTTCTAGATTTTGAGAACCGAAAAATACCGGACCGAACCGTTCAAAAATAATGCATTTGAATTTTTATATTTATTCTATACCAATAAATCTCTTTTATAGACCAACAATTTTATAGCCCAAGTATGTATTCATGTGTTCCTAAGATATCTAAATGTGTATGTTTATATATATTGTTATTTTTTCTTTTAAGATAATTTATGTTATATTTTGGTATGTATATAGAGAATATTAACAATTTAGAAATCATTAACGACTATTCATTTCTAGTAATGTAGTGTACATGACTTTTTGTTGTATCATGTTTGTACAATTTTTACAACTTAATTAATATGGTTTAAATTTTAGCTCTCAAGGTTCAACTATAAATTAAATTAGAACTACGAAGTACTTCATCTGTCCTGAAATAATTGTCCTGCTTTCTTTTTCGGTCCGTCCCGAAATAATTGTCCTACTTTGAAACTTTCCTTATTTGGTAAACAAATCTATACAGAACAGTGCCAAACAGTGTCGCTACAGTGCCAAATAGTGTCGCCACAGTGTCAAACAGTGTCGCCACAGTGCCAAACAGTGTCGCTACACTGTGAAGTCAACTTCATTTTCTTAATATGTGTGAAGGTCAAAACGAGACGATTAATTCGGGACAGAGGGAGTAATATTTAACCTAGAATGAAGAAGAAGAACGTTGAAGATATTCAACAATTCAATGATATTCATTTTTATATTTTCACATGAACGATATTTATCTCGTGCGCCATTGTTTTGCTATACTTTTTCTTAGTTGTGTTGCACTATTTGTATATTTGTGAATTTTAGTACTATGTATGCAATTTCTTGTATTTATATCAACATTTCATGTGAATCGGTTGGTGTGATGATATCTACTAATGGTAAGATTTGTTAAAAAAATTTAGCATGTGTTTGACATGACACCGTACCGTATTGTACCATTCCGAAACAACATGGTATCGAACGGTTCTATCTTTGGAATCGGACCGTACCGGATCGTTAAAAACCACACAAATACATTACGGGTTTTACCAATTTACCGGACCGTTCCGGACCGCGCCCACCACTAAATTTTAATGTACCTTACTCCCATTTTCACAAAAATAAAAGTAAAAAAAAAAATAAACCGTTGTACGTGAGGCAACTGCCTCAGGCCCACAAATTTGGGAAAACAATTAGGGCCCCGAAATTTATTATTAGTTACCTTTATATAGAGGAAAATTCATGTTCAGAATTTTTGACAGGAACCGCCGTTCGGACGGTAGCGTTTCGCCGCCTTCCCTGTGGAATTTTTTAAGGAAATTTTTATAGAATGTTCCTCATCAATTATAGTTTATCCAAAAAATATTTCAGCTTAAAATTCAATCGGAAAGGCCTTCAAATAATTTTTGGAAGTTAACTGCGTTTTATATGTATATTTTGGTGTAGTTATCTTCCAAATATCATTTGACGGCCTTTCCGATTGAATTTTAGCTGACTTTTTTGTGGATAAACTAGACTTGATAAGGAACATGACATAAAACATTTTAACAAAAAATTCCACCGGGAAGGCGACCAAACACCGATGTCCGGACGATGGTTTCTGTCAGGAATTCCGAACATGAACTTTTCTCTCGAAAAATTTCTTAGGACCTTTTTTTACAGTTCGACTCGGACCAAAAAACTCTTATGATCGGCCCTGATGAAACATTAAAAGAGTGATTTTCCCCTTTCAAAAAAAAAGAGTGATTTTGCTAAGGAAAAAACCATTTGTACCATTTGTACTTCCTTGTTTTACGGAGGTAAGAGTCTTTGTACACAAGAAACTCGTTCACAAGTTCCTGTGTATAACCAAGTAGTGTCTACGACAAATGTATACAAATCGAGTCTGGGGTTGTCTGAGCAACCTGTGAGTTGTCACTACCACCACGAAGGCCCCAACATCTATTTCACCTTTGTCTGATTCTCCGATCGAGAATTGCGACCTTCTCACCCCGCCACCGCAAGGTACCCTTCAAGTCTGTCTCTTGTAAGGTTGGTGTTGCTTTGGAAGGCGAAGAAGGAAAGGAAGGCAGTCAAAGTCGGATCTCTCACATGGAAATCCATTATTTCTCGCTTCGCTTTGCTTCTCCACGGAAATCCGTTGAAGTTCAAAAGGAATGCGGAGATTTTGTACCGTATTCTTTGATTTGCGGTTTAGCTTTGAAATCGACAAAAACCATGTGACATTTGGAGGGCAACATATCTTGCTTGATTGCACCAGACTCCACATTGAGGATCGTGGATTTCTATATAATTCTAAAAATCTTGTAAAATTTTACTCCCTCCGGTTTTTATTAAAGTTTCCACTTTCCTTTTTGTGATGTCCCTTATTTAAGTTCACACTTCCATTTTAGGAAACAAAATAGTGCCAAACAGTGTCAAACAGTGTCCAAACAGTTCCAAACAGTGTCAAACAGTGCACTCCACAGTAAAGTCAAATTCATTTTCTTAATATGTGTGAAGTCAAACTAAGAACTTAAATAAGAACCGGAGGAAGTATAGAATTTAGGACATAAAGAAACAGTCATTTTACCACATGGACTCTATTAGAGCATCTCCAATGCTATAGTGTGCACGGTGCATATGTGACATGAAAGATAACCACATAAATATTAGCAAATAAATTATCTCTCTCCTTATTTGAATGATTTTATACAATTTTGGTAAGCTTTCTCCTGCAATGTCAACATCTAGACGATCTCCTTGACATTGTGGAGAAAAACTTACCAAAATTGCATAAAATCATTCAAATAAGGAGATAGAGAATTTATTTACTAATATTTATGTGGCTATCTCTCATGCCACATATGCACCGTTCACATCGTAGCATTGAAGATGCTCTTAGTATACTCATGTTTTGTAATCACAAAAAATCTCCATGCCGTTGATTAATAAATGAAGAATGTTTTCGTAGCATTGGAACTTTCACCTTTTATAACAGGTGTGAATAAAGAATGTTTTTAATTGGACTGTTTTCATTTTCAGATCAAAACAGATCAGACCAGATTTAAATATATCAGACCAAACCAAACTTCCATAGTTATAAAATACATTGAGACCTGACGTCAGTGGTTTATCTCGCCAACTTGATTCGTGAACTGGGCGATTGAGGGCCTTCTGGCATTTAGCGCATATCTGCAAGAATCCTAGTTCGACAATTTTACGCGGCCCAAGCCCTACAGTCAACTCTGCGATTCTGGGCCATTTGGCATTTAGCGCGGCAAGAATCCACTAAGTCGACGAGACGACGGAGGTTGAGGGACGACTGGTCGGCAGTTGACTGGACGATGCCGATGAACTCACTAACACCGTTCGCCGGTGCGTGACTTTGAAGTCGAAACGCCGACCGCTAAACCGCCCAGATACCGACGCAGATCACGCGGTGACGGCTGCGACGCTTGGCCGCCTCCCGACCGGCGCCCGGCCCTGCCCCTTCTAAGTGGACCTGCAACCCGAATTTCCCATTGTTCCCAGAATCCCTGCCCCTTCTCCCCCTGCCCTTCTCAGTTTTCAACTCCTGCCTCTAGGTACTGCTATTCTCATAATTTGCTATTTAACTCTTTTATATATTTTTTACCAAAAAAACTCTTTTGTTGACTAGGTTAATGGTTCATAGTTGTTGATTGTTGTGGGTTGATTTTTTATGCCCATGGTCGGTTTGTTGATGTTTCCGTGTGTTGATTTGATTTAATGTTTAATTGATTTGAGTAGTGTTATAGTGATTTTGTTGGTTTGTAAAATGTAGATGCTGCCAATTAAATTATTAGTTGATTTGTTGATTTTTAAGTCAATAGTGACTTTATTGCTCCTTGGTCATAAGACTCATAACTGAGTTTTTAGTACATATTTTGAGTAATTGCAGATTTTTATTGCTGCTTGCCTATTTTTCCATTTGCTCACCACATATGTTCATTTCCCATGAATTTTGTTTTGTTATAATGAATTTCTTTCTGCACAGCCTTAATCTTCTTGAATTCTTTGCTATTGCGTTGTTCATATAAGCATTTTGACTAGCTGCTCTTTTTAAAATATTGTATTCCTGGAATGTCATTTGACAGTCAAGCCATCAAACAAGAGATCATTGAGCTGCAATCTTTAGATTATTGATTCAAGACAACTTTGGCTGATCGCATGTAGTTCAGTTTTTGGTTGCATTTTTTGCGAGTGAACTGAATTCAGATAATTTCGAAGAACCTTGTCTCAAATATTTAAATGAATCCTAAAGCTCATTCAATGGCCACTTCAAACTTGCCTCTCACAATCCACACACCTCTATGGGTATTAACATCCTGGCCGATACCCTGTTACCTTCCAAGATTACCAATATCAAGAAGACCCAAGAACGTCAAATTGCATACATCAAGAAAAACTTCTAGAGTATTTTCCCCATCACCGACCTTTGCAGTGCTCTCTGACCCATACATCCTTCAACTTGCAGAAACACTTGAAGATTCACTAGAATCATCATCATCATCATCCTTGACTCTGCAGAAACTTAGAGACATTTCCTCTCAATTCCTTCTCTCGACCTCATGGCCTTCACGCAAGGATGAAGCTTTTAGGTTTACCGACACTTCTTTTATCAGGAACTCCATTATTGAACCGATTTCATCTACATCAGACTTGCAGCAACCTGTACCACTTTCTAGTAATGATACCCTTTCTCCATTAAATGTTACAATTATTGATGGATATGTGGTAAGTTCATTGTCACAGTTATCTGAGTTGCCGAGCGGAGTGTTTGTGGGTTGTCTTTCAAGCCTTAATACTTCTGAGGAGGCTACAATAATGAAAAGGGTATCTGATGAATATGTTTCTATTTCCCAGAGTGGAGACATGTTTTGGTCCCTTAATGGGGTTGGTGCCCCTGATATACTTGTTATATATGTGCCTGAAGGGTGTAGAGTTGAGAATCCGCTCCATTTGAAGTACTTTTCATTGAAAGGAAGAGAGAAACATTCTAAAGTTTTGCCCATTTCGAACCCAAGGGTGTTAGTTTTAGTGGAAAAAGGCGGTGAGCTTAGTATAGTTGAGGAGTACACCGGGAGTGACAAATGTTATTGGGCCAATCCAGTTATGGAAATTGTAATTGGGGATGGGGCAAAGGTTAGCCATTCTTACATCCAAACACAGTCCTTAGGTGCTGCACATATTAAGTGGACTTCAGTTCGCCAGGTATATACATGTACCTCCTCTTTCTGGAATTATCTTCTTGTTTTCTTTTTCGTTCATACCAAAATAATCTTCCTCTTTGCTTTTTAAGATGTTGTTTCTCAATCATTTTTAACCCAAATCTCAACCACATTTTTTTAACCACACTTCTTAATAAGCGTTTTAAATTAAAAACAAAAGTATTAATGTAGGATGCAGGGAATATGTGCTCTAATCTAAACCTATATGTGCCATCTAATTACTCGTTCCGACCCGACTGCATAATACTTTATTTGTCTTAAACTCCATATGCTGAGATAAAAAGGTACAATTTATGAGGGAAATTGATCATTTTTAAGAATTATTAATGTGATAAGTGATAACTTAATTTGTTTGAACTTTCTTAAAAGGGAAAACTATCAAATAAGCCCCCAGCTTTACAAAAAAATCAATTAGCCCCCCCAACTGGAATATCGCTCAATCAGACCCTCGTACTCATTTATAAGTGTCAAACTCTCTTTTTAACTGGTAATGAACAAGTGAGCCGGTTACTATGTGCATGTGGCAATCCACATAGCTGTTTTTTTCATTTTGTTTTTATTTTTTGCTTTCTTTTTCACTTCACTCCCACCTTTCTCCTTCCTTCCACACCCGTTCCAGCAAAAGTTCACAACCTTCACTCCTGCTTCCATCTTTTTCCATCCATCATTACTTCTCTCCCATTCTTCTTTCTTTCTCCCATCCATTAATCGTTGGCCAGCGCTCCACTGCAAAGAGACTGAGAGAAACCAAGGTCGCCGGAGATGGTGGAGTACACATCTCACTCTGGACACCTTCTTGCAGAACGGTCGTCCATCTTCCATGAGTCAATGGCTTGGAAGTCGGGGATGGTGCTTTGTTTAAGCTTCTGAGTCAGCAACACAAGTCGGCGATTGTACGGCCGTATGGAGCTCTGTGAAACCTCCAAGCTATTTCCAGACCGACAGCTTCAATTCGGCCAAATTGAAGACTCTAGTCGGTGGCGGAGAAGAAGGGTAGGCAGAGGAAGGTGAGGACTGAGGAGGGTGATGTGAGGACGGGAATCTGGGAGCTGAGAACTAGGGAAAGAAGAGAAGGGGGACATAAAGAAAAAAAATTGCAGGTCTGGAGCGCAGGGAAGAAGAATGGGGTAGGAAAGAAAAAGAAAAAATACCTCCACATCACACGCCACACACGCAATTCCACCGGAAATATGGACGATGCCGGTTAAAAGGAGGATTTGCCACTTTTAAATGGGTTCGAGCGTCTGATTAAGCGGTATATCAGTTAAGGGGTCTAATTGAGTTTTTTGAAAAATAGGGGGGCTTAATTTGATAGTTTTCCCTTCTTAAAACTACCAATAGTTTTGAACAAAGTATCTTTTTCATTGTCAAAAACACTGTATTTCATTGTTGATATTTGAATTATGGCAGGGTGCCATACTTGAATTGGTTGGTTATTTATTTTCAACAGGAATCAACAAGCGTTTACAAGCATGTTGAAGTAAGCACAGGCGGAAAATTGAGCAGACACAATTTGCATGTGCATCAGCTTGGGCGAGACACTTTGACAGAATTATCCACATTTCACTTAGCAAGAGGTGACCAAACACAAGATTTGCATAGCAAAATAGTATTAAACCATCCATGTGGGGTCTCTCGTCAACTTCACAAATGCATTGTGACTCACTCAGGCCATGCCGTCTTCGACGGAAATGTACAAGTTAATAGGTACAGTTTTTGTCATTTTGTGCCTTGTACAAACAAAGCAATTTTTTTTGTTTTTTTGTTTTCAAAAAACGCTCGAATAGAGACCAAATCAAGTTACATATTACAAATTTAGTTTTTCTTTTAATTTTGCTTATTTCATGTTATGTTACCATTTTTACTTTTACCTAAATTATTGGTCAAACATGATTCTTTTTTTCAAGATGCTAGGGAGTGACTTTGATGCTAAATCAATGTGGTGTTGGCCAAACTGTAATTGGTTGCACAATCCATTTTTTAGCACAAAGTACAATCAAGTATAGTGTTAGGCACTGTGTTGGTTCAGCATGTGAGTCTCCTCCCCCATACATATATATACATAATTACTTATATTAATGGGGTGTGAGTAAACAAAAACTACTAAGGAGTAATATTATTCCCGCTCGTTTGTGTAGAGATGCTCAGCAGACGGATGCAGGACAGCTAACCAGAAGCCTACTGTTGGAGCCTCGGGCAACGGTGAATGTGAAGCCAAATCTCCAAATAATTGCTGATGATGTCAAATGCTCTCATGGAGCCGCCATTAGTGATTTGGAAGAAGAACAGCTTTTCTACTTCCAAGCACGCGGAATTGACATAAAAGCCGCTAGGAAAGCTCTTATAATTTCTTTTGCTGCTGAAGTGATAGGGCATATTTCAAACACTTGTGTGCAGAAGCGAGTTGAAGGGCTTTTGAGAAAATTGCTTGATGATCCCGCACTAATTCCTTTTCCTAGTAGTGGCTGACTAGTTGCGTCACTTTTTATTATTGGTGGATTTGATCATGTGTGTTATTATTATGTAATCTTTAATATATTCTTTCCCATGTGGCATCGCATGTATATATTATCACTCTCCAAATGGATGAATTTTGGGTAAGCAATCCTGGTTTCACTTATGATCGATTCTAGAATCAAAAATTCAGAATTAGGCTTGGACAGTTGGACTCGGGCTGGGCCTGACCGAGCTTTTTTGGGTTTCTTGAGGCCCGGAACCGGCCTGGGTAGCTAACGGGTCGGGCTGGGTACATTATTTTTTTATTTTCTAATTACTTCCTACCCCACCCCAAACCCCTCCAAACACCCAACCCAACCCATTTACCTTTTAAAGAATTTGAAAAACAAAAAAATTGGCCTGAACCGGGCCGGGTTGGGCCGGGTGGCCCGAATCGGGCAGGGATCCGGGTACTGGGCCAGGCTGAAACAGTACCGGGTCAGGCCAGTTGACTCGGCCTGAGTGCATCCCTATTCAGAATAGGGACCAACCTTAACCTGACCTGGTTTCACTTCCTCCAAAATGTGATTGAACTGGTGTCCGGCGGGGTCTTCATCACAGTGAAAGTGCTGAATTCAGACCCCTTTTACTTTGAATCCTGGTATCAAATTCCCCAGAAATTGGTCTAGGACCAAGATCCAAACTTATAATATTCCCATGGTGGTTTTAGTTACTGCCTGTAGGGGATTTGGAACCGGTCTTGTTAATATTCAAAGTTGGATCATGTTCACCTCTAAGGCCTTGTTTGGTTCAAAGGAGGGGAGTAGTGATGGATTCGGGCCGGGCCGGTCAGGCCGCCGGTTCAAGAACAGTGGGCCCGGGACCGGCCCGCGGGTTGGACGGGTCCGGTTCGGGCCGGGCCACCCGCCCGGGTCACGGGTCGGGTCCGGTTCGGGCCGGGCCGGTTAATTTTTTTTTTTATAATTTATATTTTATATTTTATAGTTTATAGTTTGATACGAGTATTAAAAACAAACTTCAATTGCATTTATTTGAAATGAAATAGGAACTACATTTGAAAATTAAAACAAACTTTAAGAGATAAACATTTTGAAAATTGTAATCAATCGGAACTTCCCGCACCTCCCGATCCTTTGGCTTTGTCACATGACTTCATATGCTTGATTGCCATCCCGAATCCGCCTGAAGCCCCCATAATACATTTTGTTTCGCACCATTTACAAATTGCGTACCACATCCCGGTCTTCGGGTCCTTCTGCTTATCAAAATTATACCGTATAATGGCATTTTGATTTTCCATCTTAACTTCTTGGAGAGTTGGAGAAGAGAATTAGAGAGTAGATATATAATATATTGGAGAATAAGAGAATTAGAGAGTAGAGAGTTAAGAATAGGATTTAGGAAGAATTGGAGAAGAGATATGAAAAAATGTTTAAGAGTAGGAGAATTTATAGGTTTTTTTACCCCCCACCCCCCCACCCCCCACCCCCTACCAGCCAACCCCCCCGGACCCCCCCTTTACCCCACCCAACGGCTATATAGCCGTTTGGGTTGTCCCCAGCCCCACCCCCAAGGCCTCAACGGCTAGTAGCCAAAAATCAAAAAATTTTTTTTTTTTTTTAAAAATAGACCCGGGCCCGGGCCCGACCCGGCCGGGCCGGGTCACAAAAATGATGAACCGAGCCCGCCCCACCCCTTCCCCCCGGTTCGGGCCCAGACCCGGTCCCGGACCGCCCGACCGGGCCGGTCCCGCACAGTACCGGGCCGGACCGGGTCACGGGCCGGGTGGCCCGAACCGAATCCATCCCTAGAGGGGAGGGAAGGGGAGAGTCAAGGAGGGAAGGGAAGGTTTAATGAAAATATTTTTGCAATTTACGTTTATATGATAGCTTACTCAAAAAAATAGATACATGTCTAACTATTGTGAATATTACTCCTATGGTCATGAGTCATAAATTTATTTTATTTGATTTTTTACTTTTTTAATTTTATAATTTTTCATTTTTCAGTTTGCAATTTTTAATTTTTATTTTTTTTTTAATTTTTAAAATTTTTAATTTATAATTTTTAAAATTTTTTATTTTAAAAATTTTTTATTTTTTAATTTTTAAATTTTTAATCTTTAAATTTTTAAATTTTTAAATTTTTTAATTTGTCAAAACTTTTTGTTTTTTACCTTTTTATATTATAACGTTTTGTTCATTCACGTAGGAGATGGATAGTTTGTGCAATCAACACGTTTCCTCCAAAATACCCCAATTTGGGGGGTTTAGAATGGGAGGAAGTAGAGGATTTTGAAAGTCTTCTACTTTCCTTCTCTTCCCCCCTATTTTCTTCAACTAAATACACACAAATCCCCTACTTTCCTCCTCTCCCCTCCTAAACCCTCCAACCAAACAGGGCCTAATAGAAAAGGCATATAATAGCTCTATAATATATTCCTTTCTTCACTCATGACTAACCACTGACCACCATGGATCATAAGCGTAAAAAATGGCAATGCTTCTCTAGAAAGTTAATATTGAGATATATTATGCGGCCACTTGAGAGGTGTTTCACAATTTATGTAGAAATGGACACATTCTTACATTCTCAAATGACTACTAAGCAACTAAAAATTGTGGGTTTTAATGTAATACTTTCAATGCATCAAATGTAATGCCTCAAGCTCTTTGGGTCCAAGTGTTAGAAGTTAGAACAAATAAAAAAATTGATCAATTTAAACAAATAAATACAAGCCAAGGAATATTTTCTGACCAGGTATGGAAATTATTGAACTGCGCTTGTACAGCTACTACTACTGGAAAGAAAACAAGTTTCTACTGGAAAATCAAAGCTCCATACTGCACTAGCTTCTTATAACAACTAAGTCAACTACCACCCAAACGCTAAAACTCTAGAGGGTCCCACCCAACCCCACCAGTGATTTAGTCATATGGATTTCTGAAGTTCTTGAGAAGTTCGGGAATGTCTTGACCAAGCATTTCATCCACTGCTTGAATCATTTTTGGCTTCAACTTCTCAAAGTCTTCTATGTTGTAACGTACCAGCACTTTCCTGAAGTGTTCCACATTGGGGAAGTCACCCGCCGGTATACGAGTCTGTCTTTGAACCTGTTTGTTTATTTGTTTCATCACAAATTACAGTTTCAGATAGCAAGTAAGTTAACAACATTAGAGGCGTGATCTATGAAGCACAGAAACTCTAAAACAGTACTATTTCAAAAAAAAAATACAAAAACTTTTTAAAAAAGATGTTTCAGAGATATCTGGGACATCCCTAATGCTCTAAACTAAATTGGGATATTCTATGAAAGCATTACTAGTGTTGTCCCTAAACGATCTTATTATCTTTTGCCTAGAAAGCAAAACTAGTGGTTCAGAATTTCTGAATTAATAAATCTTAAGAGTACAGTTTTCAATTCTTGAATTTCAAGTGCCGTAAAAGTATATACTTAGTGAGTTTCATATTTCTCACTCTCATGTTCCCATTTTTAAATCTTCTCGTCATATCATCAATAATTTTGAAAATAATATACTATTACTTCTATTTTTTTGGATTTATCCTTCATTCCACCTAACTATCTCATCATGTTCACGTCACACATCCACATCCTCAATAATTTATCTCATTGCACTATTTTTAATGTCACCTACTTTCAGTGTTACTACAGGTAGTATTAATTTTGTAGGGTTGTGTAACAGCGGGCGGGGGACCTGATTAGATATGGACTCGGGCCGGGTGGCCCGACCCAGAACCGATCCGGGACCGGTACTGTTCCGGCCCGGCCCGACCCGGTGACCCGGTCAGTGACCGGTCCGGGTAGGCCCGACCCGTGGGTTTTCCGGTCCGGGCTCGGGTCACCCAAAACAAGGCCCGACCCGGCCGGGCCCGGACCCGGTTCGGGCCAAAACTATTTTTTTTCAATTTTTTTTAAATTTTCGGGTTGGGCTGGGTATTTTGGGCCATTTGGGGTGGTTTGGGGGGTTGGGGGTGGGAGGGGGGTTAATTAGGAAGAGGAAAAAAAAATGATAATGGACTCGGCCCGGCCCGGACCCGGACCGGACCCGGTGGTTACCCGGGCCGGTCCCGGATCCACCACTCCTGAACCGCCGGCCCACCCGGGGCCTAGGCCCGACCCGGACCCGGCCCGGACCCGAGTCCACCCCTAGACCTGATCAATGTGTACATGGCATTGTAGCCTTGTAGGGCGGGTCACAGTTGGAATTTATCAGGGAGCACAAAGAACAGGGCGGGGCCGTGAACAACCGTAAATAAATAAACATATAAATGGGGAGAGCAAAAGAGACCAACCTCTACAAATACATCTTCAAGATTTTTAATAAGACGTTTTTGAGCTTTAGACTTCCCCATCAATGATGGCATCTCTTTCTTAAGATGGCTAATTATGTAGGCGTGAATCTTAGCATCTCTGGCACGTTTAACAAATTCGTTGATCTGAAAAATGAACAGGAAAAAAAACATTTACTCAAAGAAGACAACTGGTCACATCACAATAGTCATTTATCTGAAGGACACCATACCTTACGATCACAAGCCTTTTTAGGTATATCAATCAAGTCTTCAAGCAAATCATCTTGCTCTTTTTCAAAAAGATCCTTCCCCATATGGTCAGTACCTTCCTTTACAGGTTTGTCATTGAAGGAACTATAACGCCATATCCGGAACATAACACAAAAGCAACCACCAATTCCAAATAATTGCTCATTACATAAGTATTGAAGAAGCATAAGAAATATCCAACAAGAAACACTTTGAAAGATATCACGCTGGTTAGAACATGAAAAGTATCATATACATGAAACGGGCCCAGCCCCATGCCTAGAAGCAATGCAAGAAGATATACTTTTGAAGAGCATACTACATTATTAAAGCATGAGCATACCCTATATAAACTCGAACAACCTCTGGTGTATCTAGAACTTTGCCAAGGGACCACATCAGTGCACCATAAACTCTCATCAGCTGCAACAGAAAAAAATTGAAGTTGGCAACAAAGAACTCATTGTGTAGTGAAGAAAGCAATACATAGTTTGCAACTAATAGTCATCTTACTTGTTGTGTATCAACTTGGTCTGCCTTATTCAACACAACACGAATTTTGTCATCGTGACCACGTAGAGATGATATAACTCGTTTGAACTCATCACTAATGTCGAGTTTGTGAGGATCAAATAAGAGAAGAATGAGATCACACTTAGCTGCAAACCATGATATAACACCAGTGAAATCATAGCTTCGTTGCATCATTTGTTTCTCCCCCGACAAGACACCCGGTGTATCCACAAGTGAGAAGTGGTCAAGGAGCTGTATGTTACAAATTTCCAATATTAAGGGTTCGTTTGAACTGGTAAAGTAACAGCCTAACAGGCAAAGAAAAAAGGGAGGCAGTCATAAAGAGGGCAACTATAATGACGGCAAATTTATTTGTTCAAACTAATTTTTTCTACTTATTTCTAGTGTGTGTCATATGTCAATTCATGTTAGCTGACTCCAACATTTTTTAGATTAAGGCTAGGGTGTTGCTGTATTTCCAGTGTTTACAGACATAAATCTAAATCAATGAAAAAGTTTTAAGATATTAATCATATTTCATTTACTAATGCATTTTACAAGCTGAAGACAAACACAAGAAAAACTTCGTTTAGCCTTACTTTTTTCATTTTACAAATATGCTGTAATCAAAATATACCCTAACTAGCAAGGAACTTAAAATTTTCAATCACTATTAGAAAATGGGGATCCAATTGCTGCTTACTGGATGTGGCATCTGGGAGCATTCAAATTTTGACAAAAAAGCTCCTCCGAAAGTATTTAACCCTGTGAATGGCATGTCTGCATGAACAGCTATGGTGTTTCCAGGAATGCTCCTTTCATCTGGTCCGGACTATAAAAGTCAAAGGGTCCAAATGATATGAAAATCAAGGCATGATGTGCAATGATGATTATCAAACATGTAAAAACGTCATGTTGTCAAAAAGGAAAATCTTAGACTAAAGTGTGTTACCGAGACAACAATAAATCTATCGGTTGTTGGCTCTGGTCCAATGTGAGATCCTATTTAATGGGAAACAGATTAGCAAACATTTGGAACATTTGGTAGTTAATAGAAAAATATGTATGAGAATCTAAGAAAAAATAACAATGTATATGCCTAACCTGGATAGTTTCTCTTCAATAGGTGCTTAATGAAAGTGGTTTTCCCAGTTGAGTATTGACCCAAAAGCATAACCATGGGTTTAGCTTCAAAATCACTAGAGGTCTACATGAAGAGTAAAGAAAGGCATAATGAGAAGTAAGAAAGAAATAAGCAAATAAATATTACTTAATAATGTAGGTTGTATAACTTTGGATGTTTTTGCTGGTCTGGTCTGGTCTAGTCTGGTGTGAACTGGCCTGGTCTGGTCTGGTTTCTTTGTATTTCTATAACTACCCAAGTTTGGTCTGGTCTGAAATGGTCTGGTCTGATCTGATCTGGTCTGGGAGGAATTACAGTCCAAGTAAAAACATCCTTTATCAACTCACCAATGCTGGGGATACAAAATCATTAAAACGGTAGGTAGCCTCCAACGGCTTCAGCTTTGTATTGTATAACCTCTTTAAGCCATCAATTACTGAAGTTACAGCAGTAAGAGTAGGTTGGACCTGAAGAAAACGAGAGAAAGGAAGCATGAATCAAGAGAATAAATTAAAAAATCTTTTACACTTGTGATACTCTAATATGAATTCCCAATAAAAATTTGGATTGATAATGTTTTAACTCCCCACTGCCACTCTAAGCTAACATATGGTAGTGTTATAGGGTGTGAACTAGAGGACCAAAGCATTGTGTCAATAGAACAATAGTATTAGAGAGAACATCTATGAAGAAACCATGTGGTGAACAGAGATAAGGAGAGCGGTTGGTGACTTGGTGTTAACATATAACAATGACATGGGATGGAAACTAACCTTCTTTCTAGATCTTGAGCTGAACATTTTGACATATGATGCTATCTGCGACTGTGTAGTTCCTGCATTAGTTTTAGTTTATACTTAAGCAAATGTTTATTCCTTTATTGAATAAAAAAAATTGAACATATATAAGTTTGGATGACTTATTTTAGTTAAATTAGAAAGCTTTTAAACACACCATTTGTGTCTGGCTTGCTACCATTGGAATCAGAGTTGGTTTCTGACAGTGAGCCATTGGTATTCTGGGACCGAAAAAGTACCATTAAATGCTGAAAAACCTTTGGATTAAGGATTATATTGATGGAGGTACAATTTGAGAAGCACTTACAGAAAGCAACACATCGAAATCATTCATTGTTGGAGGATCCACATGCCGCATGCCATCTATAAAAAGTAAATTCCAATAAAGAAATGGAAGAGAAAGAGTAAAACATCTTGTATCAAAACAAAGCATTCACTCTGCAAAGCATATTTACAGAACACTTATTGGGATACACCTGGACAAAATTAAGGTCTGGGCATTAGGAACAAATAACCACAAAAATTATCAGTACCACTAGCACCAAAACTGAGCATGCAAAGAATACTGTGGTCTGACTTGCCTGCAGTTTTAAGGAGATTTGAGTTTAGCTCTTGTCCTTCTTGTGCCAAGGATATCAGCTATAGCACCACAAAGATGATAACTGTTTAGAATCATGGTCACTAATGAATGAAGGAATTAGGTAAGTCATGAAAAAGTACCTGCATCGCAGTAATAAATTCATTGATGCCTAAAAAACCTTGATGTTTGGAGTCAGCAAGAGCCCAAACCTGAAATACCAAGCAGGTAAGCATAAAGGGCACGGCCTAGTTTGGGATCAAGGTTGCGTTTGGTGAAAAAACTCTTGAAGATTGTTTTTAAGGATTGTGGTGAGGAAGAACTTTTGATTTGAAAGTTATAATTATTTGGCATTGATGGTGAAAGTTATTGCGTCAATTTAAAAATGAAATGTCTAAAATGGAAATATTTGAGGCTCAAATGTGATTCTCTAAACACAACAGTCAGCTCTTGGGGTTCCTTTTAAAAAAACTGGAGTTGCATTACGGAAAAAGTCTATTTTTATTTCATAAACAATCTCACATAGAAGAGAATAACAATAAACCGAGGGATTCCTAATGAACCAAACACTGTGCAGCAATGCAGCCAATATAGTTTAATTAATAGGAAATGGAACATTTCTCTTTGTTTATTTACAGCAATTCATTTAAATCGCTTTAAAGATAAACTTGCAACAAGTCATCATCATATTGATCGAACAAGAAAAATAATCCATCAAGACAACAAATTCAGGCAAAAACAGTGGCACACAAGTACACAACAGAACTACAATAGCTAAACAGAAGAACCAAAACAGGGCAAACATCCGAAGAACAATCTTCCTTGATAACAGTAATCGTCATATTATGGTTTCAATGTCAAATGACATGATCTAAGCTTTGTATGCACATCGAACGCGAAATAACTAACAAGATATGAGTGTCTACCTGCTTGAGTTGAAGTTTACTAAGATTCGACAATGCAAAAAGCTTGGTGGCGTCGCTTCCGGTGACACGACCATCTCCGTCTGTATTATCATCACAGAGAATCGAGAGATTGAATGGCATCAGTTCGTCAAAGTATTCGAATGGGAAATGAAAACAAACGAAAAAGTAAACCAGAAGAGAGGAAAACCTGAATCAGCTAAGTTAAACCAGTTCTGGTAGAGTTTCTGCTGCTCTTTGGAACAAGAGGTGAAAGCTCCTGAAGCGATTTCCATTTTTGCGTCTCTTCTGATTGCGTGGAGTTCTGGTCACTGGCTGGTATGAGCGAGTTCAAATACAACTTGGAGAGAGCGGAATCTATTCAAATTTTAAAAAAACGTTGGAGTTCTGGTATGGTTGTAACGTGAAATACGCATCTTTTTTTGCCAACTAAAATGATGCTCCATACGGAGCATTAGATAAATTGGTTAAGATATTCAAAACTTTAAGATATGTTTGGTTTGAGGTTATTTCACGTTGAAGCGGAACATGATGCCTGAAATGTTAGATACTCATGTTTGGTTCACGGTTTTAAAAAAGAACAGGAAAGTTACATTCTCGGGAATGTAATATGGAGAGGAATGCTATACCCTTCTATGCCTTAGCTTATCTGACATTCCCAGGGATGATCTAATTTTCTTCCGAAAATACACTCAATTAATTTCGCTATGTATTCAACTTTAATTTCTCTATGTATTCGACTTTTATGAAATTTGAATTTTAATGATTTTATAAAACTTTTAATGTAGTTTCTAAATGTGTAACTTTTATTCACTAAAAATAATCTTATTATTGAAAAGGATCAGTTAATTTTAGGGGGTTTTCCTTAAATATTACTAAAAGTAAGTTATGGATAAAAATGTAACTACGGTTAATATGCATAGTCACTATGATGTAAAGTTGAACACTATCATGGTCAATAAAGTTACTATTATAGTCACTAAGTCATATTTGTGTTCATTATCTTCGTTTCAGTTATATATTTGTCATTATTTCTTAATTTTATAGTGAGTCGAATATCTAGATTGTGTGACAACCTTTTAAGTGGGGCGAATGGAGTATGTTTATTTAATTATATTCGAATGTCTATTCTTGTTATTTTCATAATTCTTTTTCCTTATCATTTAAATTTTTTAAGGTATTTATGCCTATAGATTATTTAAGTTTTTAATGAGTGGATTTCAAAATTTAATGGCAAGTTGCTGTATTGGCTGATTTTGCTTATTCATAAAAAAATTATATTCAAAATATTTGTTATTAATTAATAAAATAAAAAATTATATGAAAAAAAGCTAAAAATGATCATCTACCGTAACTTCAGCCAATAAAGCCGGAAAAGTAACTCCAACCTTACTTTTTCTGCTTATTACATAATTTAGCGCGCGAAACCAAAAATTACGTGTTTGGTGATAAAGCCGACTAATAAGCATGATAAGCCGAAAAAAGGGGTCACCAAACGGGCTCTTAAAGCGCCTAAAAACATGTGTATGTTTTCCTACTTTTTAGGCTGTTTTTAATTTGGGTGTATATTTGCGATTTTCGGATAAATCGATTACGTTAATTATAATTTCTTTTCTCCAAATGTCAATATTTCATTTCAAACTTAAAGTCCTCTGTTTTAGGTTGTTTTTAATTTGAGTGTAATTTCTGCCGTCTTTGGATAAATTGGTGACGATAATTATAATTTATTTTCCCCAACTGTCAATATTTCATTTCAAACTTAAAGCGCCTAAAAACATGTCTATGTTTTCATCCTTTTTAGGTTGTTTTTAGTTTGAGTGTAATTTCTATGGTCTTCGGATAAATTGGTTACGATAATTATAATTTCTTTTCTCAAATTTATATCTATATCTATCTATATATATATATATATATATATATATATATATATATATATATATATATATATATATATATATATATATATATATATATATTCGCTTAAGTCTCCTTCCCGCTCGTGACTAGGGACATTTGCGTAAATACTAATACCCTGACTATTCTTCAGAAAAATTAGGGTATATCTCAAAGAATCCTCCAACAAAAGACTTCTCCCTGAAGTTGGAGTCTCGATACTTCTCCAACGAACTGTAATTTCTCCGACTTCAACTCCACAGAGTCCATCAACACGATACTTGTCAATATCGGTAAGTACTTTCTCTCAAATCTAACTATATATATATATATATATATATATATATATATATATATATATATATATATTTATCCATCACTTAATTTCTCCGACTTCAGCTCTCTTATCTTCCAGCGAACTGTAATTTATCTCCACTTTCGTTTCCCACCTACTCACTCTCCAATGACTGTGAATTCCCCCTCCAAAGTCCTTTTGAAGGATGTTACTAAGCAACTGGACGACAAGGGTGTATTGTTGCTGAGAGTCGTACATATGTGGATTGTTCCTCACAAAGGAAATTCCTCTGAACCCTACATGATTGACATGATTCTCATGGATGAGGTAAAGTTCTTATTAATTACTCATTTTTAGTCTACTTTACTCATTGTTTCAGAATATATACATTTCAGAATTTTTGTCATACATTAGTATTCTATATCTATCTTTTTTTGTTTTCCCTTTCACTTAATATGGTTTGGTTACATGTTCCATTTGATCTCCATAAAATTAGACTTGGTTTGTGCTTATGGAAAATATTGAATTATTTATTATGGACTATGTAAACTTTATGCACATAACATGTTTGATGAAATGTTTCATTGAGTTTTACCCACTCAACAGTGTGTTTATATATGCCTGATTAATATTGAATTATTTATTATGGACTATGTTAATTTTATGCAGAGAACAATAGAACATGTTTGATGAAATGTGTTATTAAGTTTTACCCTCTCAACAATTTGTTTATATATGCTTGATTAATACGTGTTATGAAATATTGAATTAATCAAAAAAGGAAATAATGCAATCTTCCTCTCTTTCACTTACTATGTTATGAAGAAAAGTCAGCAACATTTCTTCCTTGGTTCCATATTCGGTTTGATTATTACGTGTTCTGAAATATTGAATTATTCGAAAGAGGAAATAAGGCACTTTTCTGCTTAGTAACAAAAGATTAATGAGAAGCAAGCACTTCTAGAATTCAGCAAATACACTCTCATTCTTGGATGTTTCTTTGTGATGTTTAAACTTTAAACACTTTTATGTTTTAACACGATATTGATTCTTTAATTTTAGGTGCCATATATTCTCATTACTTTACAATTGCTTTGGTGCTTTGCTCCAATTTCTGCAACTGTCACTATCAGTGGTATTTCATTCTATATATTATGTGAAAAAACAATTTATATTGTTATTTTTTATTGAATGTATTTAAAGAAACTAAAATTTAAAACCGATTAGTTCTACCACCCGTACAAGAGATAAAAATAGATGGATAAAAGAATTATTTGCTTTAGAATATATTGTTAACTCATTCTTTAACATTTGAATATCAGTCTAATTGTTAAATCATTTGGTAACATTTTCAAATTATTAATATGATAGGGTCATAATTATTATATACAATATAGAAGGCAAATGGCCACTTCTGGTGGTACTTTTATGCAAACAACTCGGACAGCCAGAACATTTATACCTTTGTTTGATGCTATTTTGCAATAAGCTTCCCTTTAAGCTGCATTTTGCACCCTTTTATCATTTATAAAATGTTTTGAATACGGTTTTGGAGTTTTGCATTTCCTACAGTGTGCTTTTGCACTTCTCTAAGGCTAATCTTCAATCTTATTCTCATTTTCAAATTATCAATATGATAGAGTCATGATTATTATACTACCTCCGTCCCTTAAAACTTTGCCAAAGTTGACCGGCACGGAAAATAATAAAGTAAAAATTGTGTGGTTGAGTTTTGTGTAGAGGAGAGAGAAATAACAGAAACTATAAAATAATTGATTAAAAGGGAAAGTGGCAAAGTCTTTTGGGACGTCCCAAAAAGGAAAGATGACAAAGTTTTAAGGGACGGAGGGAGTACAATATAGAAGGTAAATGGCTACTTGTGGTGGTACTTTTATGCAAAGAACTCGGAGAGCCAGAACATTTATACCTTGATTTGATGCTATTTTGCAATAAGCTTCCCTTTAAGCTGCATTTTGCAACATTAAAACATTTATAAAATGTTTTCTTTGTGGCTAAAAGTTGGTGTCCTATTATGCTGATGAGAAATATTGATCACTCATTCTCCTCTACAAGACAATAAAACACAAAAAAAATCTCCATCTCCCCATATATTTACCAAAAAAAAACGACACCCTACCCCCTACCCCCAAATACGAATTTCAAAGCTTCCAAAAGGAAATAAATGACATCGAAGAGAGATAGGGGAGAAAGCTCAACTGATAGGGGCCCCAATTCAAGGCTACGAGGATGACCGTTTCAGCCCAGTTATGACAAAGACGAGCACTAGGGACAGTGCTTCAAGCTAAGTGAGGGGGAGTCACTCATTGGTACGTACTTAAGTTTGATACCTTGTAAACCAGCATTATTTTCTTCGCACAAAAAAAATAAAAAAAAAAACACACAAAGAAATGCTTGTTAGGTTGAAACCCCAAAAATGGGCAATCTAAGCAAAAAGAGCTTACAAAAATGATGAGTGAGTGGAAAGGAGGAAAAATAAAAAGAGATGCTAGGATGAAAACCTGAAAAAGGCTCCTAGGCAAAATGAGAGATATATTTATTTTTACAGGACATCATTTAATCTCTTGAAGATGAAAAGAGGAGATGAGCATAGAAGGCCATGAAACCCAAGAAGATATTGTTCTTTGAGCTAAACACTCAATGTAAAACTCATATGTTATCCTTGGTGGTCTTTTGCTCTTTCTGGTTGATTGTTGAACTTTTGAGGACTTGGAACTGTTAAACATTTGACTTTACTCGAGGACGAGTAAAGAAGCTAAATGTGGGGGAGTTGATATTCATGTAATTTCCGATTGTATGTTTGTATTTTTAACTAGTTTTTATTAATTCTAGTTGTGAAAAATTACACATTTTTGGTGTAATACTTTATTTTCATAATTATTTGTAATTTATTTAGATTAGGATTATTCTGAGCTTAGGACATGTCAAAATCATCCCAAGACTCAAAGGATGGATCCTAAAGACCAAAGAATGTGCAAAAGAGAGAAGATCAAATGAAGATTTTGAAACTCATTTAGTACTCGGTCGAGTGTTGCCAATACTCGGTCGAGTATTGACCGGATACATTGGTCAAAATCAAATCTGGGAGCAAAAGAACGTGACTGAATATTTGATGGAAACCCGGTCTCATACTCGACCGAGTATCACTCAATACTCGGTCGAGTATGCCTATATGTCGCAGTTTCCTGGAAACTACCTTTTGTACTCGATCGAGTATCCCATATACTCGATCGAGTATAGCACCCTGACACCTCCATTTTGCTATAA